CATAGTATCCAGGACAACTCGTCGTACACACAGCTGCTAGACTTCAGCAATTGATCGATGTGATAATTTGGGCCCTCAAAAATCTCGCTGAGTCCCAAGATCTAAAAAAGAGTGGGTAGCTTCGCTGGCCTGATGCCAAGGCAAGAGGAACGGAACAGAATGTGTTGCGCGGACGAGTTGTCCGGCCACAGCAGGATGTGGTAATTACGGCCTGTGCGCTCCAATGCCAATGGGATCGCGCCATATGACGCACACCCTGGTACACTCTATTTAACCTGACGCCTAACCGCTACAGTATGCGCTGCGACTCGTCCTTTGCCGCGTCTGCGTCTCTTCCTTCGCCGCGCGGTGGGCCTGTTGGGGGACACCCCACTTTGCGGACACAGATGAACGAAACAAAAGAGAAGAAAAGGAATTAGCAAATATTCCCCATATATGAACCAAATATAACTTCCCCAATTTCAGCAATGAAACGAAGGCTTTTTCAATCCTAAAAGCAACCAAAACAGCCACTTGGTCAAGCCACTCGTTTTCCACTATATAAACACTTCAATTCAAAAGCTCTAGCTCAAATTCTACCTCGGTTCTCTTCGATAAGCGCTGGTTTTGGTTGGGTAGCTTTGAGGTTCGGCAGTTGCAACATGCACAGACAGCAATCAATATATATAGAACGAGGAAAAGTAGAAATATTTTCGAACTGAGTGAGGAAAGGAAAAAGTCTGAGCTCCACCGAGCTGCCATTGTAAACCGGAAATCCGTTGCAACACGAAAACGAGACTCGGGCAGGCAATTCACGTCACTGGAGCCTTTTATCGTTCCGATTTCCCCTTGAGCTGCAGCCTGCAGGTTGCCAAATTTGCACTCACTGAACTACGCCGAGCCGGCAACACATAAAACGACAAACCGGCCCTTCGTGGGGAGCCGATTTTGAGTGTCGCTGTTGCCATTTAGTTAAGTACATATCGGAGGCGAAGGTTAAATATAGGTGTACGTCTGAACTGGGGTGCACAATTTGATAAAGGACGCAGAAAAAAACCCGACACGATCTTAGGGAAAAGCACAATTGTATTCCATACCAACACGAGATATAGAAGCGTCATCTTTTCAATTATTCGTCAAGCAAAAAAAAACGAGAACAAAAGTAGCTCTGAAATACGATTTGAAAATAATGAATCAAATATAAAATAGACAACAATAAATAAAAATAAATAACTTTCCGTGGAAAAAGCCAGACGCCTTTTGCCGTATATAAGAGCTGAAGATAAATTCTCAGGAGAAACTCCAGGAAAACCAAGTCAAGAATCTACTTCAACTAAATAGATCGACTTTATAGCCGGAAAGCGGAAAGCGATTCCGGATGAAGTTCAGATCTCGAAAAGCTCATTATTCCAAAGATAACTGAATCACCAATGCAAACCCCAAGTCCTTAAAAGTATAGTTAGAAGATAAACAATGTCTTTATACGAAATAAAGGTCAAAAGCTTATAATAATCAAAGAAAACATGAAGATAAATTAAAAAGGAACGAGTGGTGAGCTGGTAACAGAGAACAGTGAAATGGACTCACGGCAGTGCCCTCCTCTTCAGGTAGCTTACCAAACAACGCTTGCTGCATTTGGTTCACAAACTGTTGACCGTATTCCTCAAGCACGTCATGATCCACCTAAATCCGACATTTTTGAACGATATTCGGTTTTCAGCCGGATGCAGACAAAAAAGCCAATTTGGAAGAAACCTTCTCGAAGCCGCTGGAATCCACTGAACCCTCCGTAGACGCCTGACCAGTGGATGCGCTCGATGGTGGAGCTGGTGGCGCCTAAATTTGACATTACTGGAGAGCTGTTAAGGGTATTCTCGTTAAGATAGTGGCTAACTATCCATCGAATGCATTTGAGGTTTTGTTTTACTAGAAGGGTATTGAATTGAGGTGCATGAAATACTAGGGAATTACCTGGGTTATTATGTCAGAGAATTTTTTAGGTTGCAATTTCCCAGTTTGACGTCAAAGCTCTTTTTCAGGGCTTAATGTGTCTTCCTCCTAATTGAATGAGGCGCTTCTCGATTTGTCCGAATCATACGCATATTATCAAGTATCGGTGCTAAACCTAGCTTCATGACCAATGAGTCTTTCTGCTTTCCCATTTCGGATTCACACTTGAAGGCGATGTTCATGATGAAAATCACCACATAAAAAATTAAGGTTGAGACGAGTATCCGTGGATTAAGGGCGATAAAGATAAACCATGAAACTCCTCTGATTAGAGGCTTAGAGTCGGCTTAAGCGAGAAGGGCGGGCAGCGGCACGGGCGCGTCGTGAGCCGAGCGCAGCAGATTCAGCCCTTTGCTAGGCCAGTTGGAGGGCATACATTAGTCTTCGCCTGCAAACGTGCAATTGTGCCGCATCCTTCAGGACCCACCAGCCTTTCGCCTAGGTACATTTCGGCTTCTTCGAGCTTCTACCTTATTGTGGAACCCTCCTTCTGAAATAAGAATGACCTGGCAGATTCACCAAAGGAGCGCTGACCCTCCCTTACATAGTTGATTGATCAATTGCTTCAGGAAAAAGTTCAATTATAATTTCTACTACGTAATTATATTATTCTGTTAGCATCACATTCCATTGGTCACAACCTCATGGTTACTAGGCCACTATCGTTTTCTGCTTTGTGGGGAGGTACTATTCGCCAAGTAAAATCACTGAACCAGGATACTGGCTGGTGAAGCCTAAGGAAGAGGTCAGGGGTACTGGCCTGTGTCATCAGGGACGGCGTCCGATCGCCTGCTGCCAAGCGAAAAAAACCAGCAAAAATTTTGCAAAATCGTGGGCAGAATAATCGCCACTAAAGTAAGACGCCACTGATAGTGCGCTTATATCATGAGAGTTAAGTAGGAGGAAGGGATAGGCTCGAAGGCGTCCCCTGATCATTCAAACGATAATTTATGCCTTCCTTACCGAGTCGTGCGCTGGGTACATAAACAGCTATCGTTTCTCACCCATAGATGACTCTCCCTAAGGAGATTAAGTGATCCAAGGCATTCCTTCCTCCAAGCGCTACCCAAAATCAGTGAAACCTTTTCCATTATTAGGATTCCGCCACCGAATTTCCTGCACAGTTCCTACCACTGTGTATACTTGGAGTTGCCATGACACTGTAGGCGCGCTGAAGTTTGTGTTGCGAAGCCCTTAACATCCACCGATATTTGTTTCTCCCTTGTTGTTCTAATGGGTGGCTTAGGGTACATAAACGACTGTCGTCTGTTTCCTTATCTGTTGCATGTGATCTTCAGGAGATCTCTCTCTGTGAAAGAACTGCCGCAAATCGCAAGGGGTATGACTCCTGGTCACGTCAAGAACACTCCTTTCCTTCGGCATTCTTTCCCCTTTTTCTCTGACTCCGCAACCAGGGTCAACCGTGATTTGCGCAGTTTCCAAGAACCGGGTCGTTTTTGAGTTTTTTGGCAGAGGGCTGTATTTTGGGATGGTGAAGGGAAAACGTTGAAAGGTGGGGATCGTATTTGCAGTGGTATTTGGGTTTTCTGAAGATTCGGGGGAAAACTTCAAGAAATAAGCAAAAAGTAAAGGAAATAAAAAATTTTCCCGCCTTTCAATCAAATTTTACCGCCCCTTCCCCGCCTCACCCTGCTCGACGGCGGTTTTGGAGGAAAAAGTGAGCGGAGCTTGGCGAGAAAGCCATGGTGGTGTGGTGGTCAGGGATGGCGGAGAGAGGCCGTATCGAAACTTCCGCTAAAATGGGGGTCGTAACTTAGTGCAGTCTGCGCAGCGTGCGGCTGACCCGGTCCGCAACTCTTTCCAGACCTCTTCGGTCACGGTGATGTAGCTATTCATCAGCGTGCGGAATCCCCTTAAAGGCTCGTCTAGACCTGAACTTTCCCAAATTTGAAGCATCAAGCCCAATTGCATACACCTTTTCGCGTCTATTCGCACACGCATTGTTCATTCGCCGATCCTGCCCGGAGCAGAGGGCAATATTGAGATCTACGTTGCGCTACGGCATGTTGGCTCCTTTGGAACGATCATTAACTACTTGGAAATGAGGACGCGATGGCGAAATGAGTATGCAGCTGATCGTGACGGGACAGGGTCAGTAGCAGAACGTGAGGGACGCTAAACGGAGTGCGACCAGAAGCTTCAAAAAAGAACAGGAAGGAGCCTAGGAGGGCACAGCACTGACGCAGGAATGAAAAAAGACCACATGCAGGTCTCCAGTTTCAGTGGAACACTACAAAGAAAAGTTAGAGAATGGGAACATAGAGCCTGTGTGGGACGGCAGACAGGTACTGCAGATTATAACAGTATGTAAACTAGCTGTTGCTTTGCTATCCTATAAAACGTATTCACGAGTCAGCAGCTTTTTGATTAATGAAAGTTCTTTAAAAGGCGGCAATGTTTTGGTGGGGGGGGGCATTGAAAATGGGCTTCTGAAAAGCGTGATGAGTGACACAGAGATTAAGCCCAGGAGAGAGGCTGAGAACAAAAAATGCTCATTCCCCGCCCAAAGGCTTATTGTTACCTCCAAGTACTGTACTACTGATTACTGAGTACTGTAGTAATGATTATGTGATCATATCCGAGATCGAACCTGATTTATAATACGTGACCTCGCTTACGATTTAGCACGCGGTAAAGCTTCAAAAACAACCTTCGCTTTCTCTTACAGAGATGGGTACCCGACAGGATGGTCGTCGCGCGGCGAGAAGGCAGAGACGCAGACGGTCAGCGGACGAGTCGCAGCGCGTACTGCAGTGATTTCGCGTCAAGTTAAATAGAATGCACTATAGTACGTCCCACATCACACAGCACGCGCTGCGACTCGTCCGCTGACCGTCTGCGTCTTTCCTTTTCGCGACGCGACGGGCCTCCTGTCGGATACCTATTAGAAATGACCATAATGGTCAGAGGTAATCTTGTGTGAACTCACCTGTAAATTAGCAAAATAGTTGTTGGTGTCGTCGAAACCGGTTGGTGGTGCATTTGGCGAGAGATCTGGTGGCGAGTCCATTATGGTAATAAGTTTGATGCCCTTGCCAGAACTACTCTTCAATGAGACACATATTTTAATAATCCCGTGTGAAAAACGACAAATTCACGAAAAAAAAATCTGTAAAGCCACACAGCAATCGATAAGCGAAAAATAGTGAGGAGATAAGGAAGCGTTTTATTTTACAGAAACACACGAGGCGACTTCTCGCATGTGTTTACTTGAATGACGTTCATTACACAGATCTGCAGGCACAGCGTGTGTCAGTTGCCGATGG